TTTCGGATGTTAAACCATCCTTGTGCCCCTGGAATGAATCCAACTTGGTCGTGGTGAATTATCTTATGGATACATTGTTGGATTCTGATAGCTAAAATTTTATTGAGGATTTTTGCATCAGTGTTCATTAGGGAGATTGGCCTATAGTTTGCCTTTTTTGTGTTGTCCTTATTTGGTTTTGGTATTAGTGTAATATTGGCTTCATAGAACGTGTTTGGTATTGTCCCTTCCTTCTCAATTTTTTGGAAGAGTTTGTGAAGGATAGGCACTAATTCGTCTCTGAATGTTTGGTAGAATTCATTTGTAAATCCATCAGGTCCTGGGCTTTTGTTTTTGGGGAGGTTTTTGATTACCATTTCAATTTCGCTAATTGTAATTGGTCTGTTTAGGTGTTCTATTTCTTCTTTATCTAGCTTTGGGTGATTGTAGAGTTGTAGGAATTTGTCCATCTCCTCTAGATTGAACTTGTTTCCATATAACTGTTCATAGTAGTTACTGATTATTCTTTTGATTTCTGCTGTGTCCGTTGTGATTTCGCCTCTTTCATTTATGATTCTGTGTATTTGTGCTTTCTCCTTAAGGGAGTATTTTATATTTCACTGTTAATCCCTATTGCCATATGCTTTACAAGAATCTATTCCCAGTCAGTGGATTGTAGAAACAAAAGCAAAACCATCTTATTCTCCAATAGATTAAAAAGAAAAGTGGTAATAAAACAAGGTTAAACTCCTAAAAGGAGACATTGGATAACTGAGCTGGGTTGATAAGGAGAATTATGTGATATATATTGCTTACTTATTTATGCTGTATCAAGATCACTTGTATCTACACTTTTTGGATGTGTTTAGGGAAATATTTTTATTTGTATGTTTCTGTACCTACTTAGCCTAGCCAGTAGTAAATATGTGATATCCTTTTATAAATGCTGTTGTATTCTGGTTTGTGAAGTACTAAATTTCCTCTCCAGTCAGATCTCACAGTAATGTCCAATAAAACTCTACAGTGTTGGGGAAACAAACAAAAAAAAGGCAAATGGGCTATAAAATATTCCAGGGGCCAGCAAACTATAGCCTGCCAAGATGAATTCAGTCCCTGACCATTTTATGAAAATTTTGTAAGCAGAACAGTTCGGCCCGGTGGTTTACAAATCGTGCAGTTGCTTTGGGTGAATAGATGAGAGACCATATGGCCCTCAAAGTCTAAAATATTTACTATCTGGCCCTTTATAGAAAAAGCTTGGTGACTCCTGGTATCCATTCCCCTAATTGGGAACATAGTGGTTTTCCATTTTAATGAAGAATTGTGGGGCCTCCCTGGTGGCGCAAGGAGTAGTCTCAGCACTATGAAGCTATCTGCAGCCACTGCAGCACAAGTTGAATTCCTGGCCAGAGAGCTAACCCACATGGTGCAGCAGACCTCTCCTCTTGCCCACTGCTCACCTCAGCAGTATATTTCTGTCAGTCTACCTGTTCTGCTCCCCACTGTCTCTGGTGAATCCTCTCCCTCACCCCCCACACTTCTGGCCTACACCCCCGCTCCTGCATGCATAATCTTTAAAAATAAAAGAAGTACTGTGATAAGTATCTTCATGCCTAAATTCTACTTTCCCCCTTGGATTCTCAAATGGAATATTGATAAAAGTACAGAAAATTTTTTTTTAAGATATGATAAACTGCTTTAAGTTTTTCAATTCATCTTCCCACTATTCTACTTTGAAAAGTTCTTCTATTTTCATAGTGATGCCTGTTACATCAATTATACATTAGTTGACACACTGTCAGTAACAGGGTTAAAAATCCACCAGGATAACTACATTAAATGTATAATTTGAGGGAATTTGTACCTTTATGTTGTTCAGCCTTTTTCTCACTCTGGAATATGACACTACTGGTTTTATGACTCAGGATTTAAAAAAAGAATTGATTTTTCCAATGGTTTCACAAGTGCTTAAAGAGGGTGAAAATTTTTTAGAAGACAGAAAATCTCTACTCTCCTGACATTCACAATGCACATAATCCTTCAAAGACAAAGTGGTTGCAGTAACTCACGTGGCTGTACTTGAATCATATGCATCACATTTCAATTTCTAGATCACAGAATTTCAGACATCAAGTTTTTAGATGCACTTGTTATTTTATGTAACAAAGTTTGCCCATTTAAATGTGAAACCAAATTTAAATTCTTATCATCATTTGGTATTCTCAATTTCAGATACTAAAATATTTTTTAAAGTCCACCCTAGATGAAGTAGAATTCAAGTTAAGTGGTATGCCTTCACTTTAGTAACAATACATAAAATACCTTGGCATAAACTTATTAGAAGTATGGTCAATCATCATGATCCATGGATTCACATTTTGGGAGTAGCTGCCTACTTGCTAAATTTTAACTCCAAAATCAACATGTGTCACCTTTGTCATACAAGGACTTGCAGCACAACAAAAATTTTGTCATCTGATGTGCATGTTCCCAGAAGTTGAATGAAGCAACACTGCGTTTCAGCTTTCATACTATAAACAAATGCCCTTTCCATGTTCTATTAAGTGGCCTATTATTTTGTATTTTGGAACTCTTTGATGGTTATTTTATTATTTAAAATCTTTTAAGTGTAGAGCTGCCTATTGTTCCTAAGTGCAAGATGGCTGTGATGTATCTTTTAGACAAAATACATGTATCAGAAAAGCGTCACTCAGGCCAGAGTTACATAGTGCTGTTGGTCATGAATTCAACATAAACAAAATATAATAAACAGAAACACACATAAAGCAAGTAATGTATAGGTGAATTGATGGTAATGTGACCAGAGGTTCATAGAAGTCTAACCCTCTAGGAGCAATTGTTCAGTATTCACTAGTTCAGGTTAACAGGGATTTATAAAACATAATTACCACAAATAAGAATGTACTGCATTTGATACCTAGTCTTTGTTATTGTCAATTATAATCTCATTTGTAACCTGAATCTTTTATCATATACTAACCTTATCCAAAACATGAAATACCAAACAAAACTTTAAAACTGCTGAGGCTGGTTTGGATGAATCTCTACACTACATGTTCCTCCTACACAGAAGCTAGAAAGGTTGCAAACTTCCTTTTCAAAAGTTTATTTTCTGGACCCACAAGAATTTTCACATTAATTAACAACATTAGACATACTTTTCTATTGCTGTTTTAACTGGGATTGCTAGAAAATGTCTGCTATTGGTTTAAGGGGGACTTTCTTCATCTTAAGGAAGTATCTTCTAGTTTAGCTTTTCAGAAACAAGTGCTGTTATTGAATGTCATTCTCACATCTATTATAGAGGATCATGTGAATTTTCTGTGAACACTGACTATATTATTTCAAAATACTAAGCCATGCTTGCATAAGCTAGTGTAATTGTAAGTTAAAACATGAAATTTTATTTTTCTATTATTTCACTTATAGTTTTATATCTAAACTTACAACTTTAAAATTAAATCTTACATATAAAACCTTAAGCTTTAAAGCTATCAAATGTGTGCAGAAAAAAATGCAGCAGCATGAAGACCTTACATAGTTTTTTAGGAAGATGCTAGGTAAAAGAACCAATTCAGTCTATTGTTGTCTATTGCATGTTGTAGTGTGCCCTGCATAATTAATAATAATGGCAAATAATTGCTTTTTTCACTAAATTAAATGAAGTTTTTTCCACATAAAATTATATAATGACCTCTAGTGGCATAAACTCAATCTAATGCCCACCACAGTTCAGTCTGACATTTAAACTTTACTAGACTGTTTTCACACTGTAAATATCAAATGCCAAAATTCTCAAAACATAGTTTTGAGTTTAAAACCTGTTATATTGGAATTTGACTTAAAATCAAAATGGATTGCCAATACAAACTGCTTTTAAATCAGCCAAGATAGCGCTCGCTTCGGCAGCACATATACTAAATCAGCCAAGATAACATAAAGTACTCTATCATTTGAATAACCACAATTTGCAAGTACATTATCAATGTTTGGCTCTGCTTCTCTTTAAACTATAAATTTCATAAAGGCAGGAATCAACTTCTGTTTATTCATGGCTATTGCAAGGTTATTGTTTGCCTGCTTCAATTTCCTCTCTATCTTGCTGTATCATTGTTTCTTGCCTTCTATTTGGGCTCAATTAATAGGATCACCAATAGATGAGACACACACAAAGACCACACAAATACTCTTGCTCTCTCTCAATTTATGTAACCCTCTCATAGGGTTTAAATCTTTTAGATAACAATCTGCAGAAAATTTCCTTTTCATTTAAAAAATAAAACTGCATATGCACGATTAAATGAAGATACAGACTTAGCCTCCCTCCCCCATCCTCAAAGCTAAAAATCCATACTAACAATTGAAACGAATCCTTCATTTGCTATGAAATGAAGTCTTTTTCCCTTTGCTTTTATAAAGCATTCCTTGTAAAAGTACTTGATAAAGGAATAACTAAGGGGTACTCGCACATTAACAGGTTTCAACACTGCTTACGATAATCTAGTGAATTATCTGCAGTTTCAACTCAGGATAATATAAAACTATGTTATATTGATAAACTATTTTTAAAAAGGAACAAAACATACATTTATAATGACCACAAAACCAAAGACTTCTGAATTAAAAGATGAAAATAATCTTTTACTAAGTATCCAAATCTCCACAGAGTAAAACTCGGGAAAGGAGAATCAATTTAGAGCCCATTAGATCTAAGGACTAGTTTCTGAAGTACCAAAAACAGCTAACTTCACTTGTAGGTAGGTTCCACAGAATTGAGTCAAAATGAAATGCATACTTACTGCATGTTAAGTAAAAAGGTATATATTCTCTACATATGTTAATACGGGAAAATTTTTAGTCTAATAAATTTAAAGCCTAATATAAGAATGGAGTGATTCTGGGGCTGCCTAATAGTAATGCTCAACTCTTCCTGATTTAGGATCAGTAATATATACATACACTATTAAATTTAATTTGATATAGTCAATAGACAACTGTGCCCTACATTTATGTTTATTAAAAACTGACATAAACAAACAAGGCCTGTACAAAAAATATCCCAAATCACATATCGCTTTGAAACAGTAATCTTGGGCGGTATTATCGCCTCGGACCCCCTCTTCCTCTGCCCCGACCACGTCCTCTTCCTCTTCCTCTTCCTCGGCCTCTTCCTGCAACTGAGGGAAGAAAAAAACAAAAATAAATTCTCTTCTGTATGGAATTAACGGACCACCACAAACTGCATCTATAGTAAATAAACTAACTCAGTCACCCTTCTCAACACACTATCCTGCAGAGCCAAAAACTGCTGGACTGCAGAGATTTTTTTGTAGTGTTTGTTTCGTTTGAATATATTTACTGAGAAATTCATCAAGCTTTAAAACATTTTTTTTTTCTTCTTTGTATTGTCTCAAATTCACCCCCAAAAAGAAATACAAGTGATCTGAATTTCACACAGATGGAAAAGATATCCAAGCAAACGAATTCAAACTCAAGAAAGTTGCAAACATACTCTATCATATAACAACCTTACGACTCTTCAGACCAAGTCATTTGATCTAACTGATCATAACTGAGTATTTAAATCCACACAGCAACATCCCTGTTACATGGTCATCTTAACTCTACAAAAAATTCATCACCCAAATGAACTTACTTCATCTCCAGACAGCTATGAGTATTAAAAAATAGCTTGACATGGTGTCCAAGTCAATCATCTAAATTTCTCTCACTGACCTTAGTCTTATCATCCAAAGCAATAAAGTTGGGGCCTCCCTGGTGGCCTAGGGGTTAAGTCTCAGCACTATCACCTTTATGGCCTCAGTTCGATCCCAGGCCAGGGAGCTAACCCACATATGGCACAGCAGACCTCTCCTGTCACTCCCCTTAACAGAGTATTTCAGTAGATCTGCCTCCCACTCTGGCCAATCTTCTCATCCTCCCCGCTCTAGCCTGTACTCCAGTTCTTCTATGCAAGAGCTGGGGTGCAGGTCAGAGATGCAGGGGGGTGAGAGGATTCACCAGAGACAGAGGAGGGAACAGAACAGGCAGACTGACTGAAATACACTGCTGAGGGGAGCAGCGGGCGGGACAGGAGAGGTCCGCCTCACCATGTGGGTTGCTCCCTGGCCAGCCAGGGATCGAACCGGTGCTGCAGAGGCTACGGATTGCTTCATAATGTGGTGTTTAACTCTTGAGCCACCAGGGAGGCCCCGATTATTCCATTTAATGGAGGGGGGTGGGGGGAAAGGAAGGCAAGCAAATACCTTATGCCAAGTCATTAAGAAATTTCAGGAATAGAGGCAATGTCAAATCTTCCATAGTGTAGGAAGTGGGGGACAAGGTCATGCACAAAGAGACAGGAAGTAAAAATAGCACCAGTCTCTTTACTAGTAACAGGAACAATAATAAATAACATACACACTCATGGCAAGTACGGGCAATTTAAAAACAAAACACAAACCTGTGTTGTTCACTAATGCTTATATTCTGAATAGAGGATTAGTATGTAAAGTACATCATTCACAAAACCATTTACAATCCTTCAAACTTACCAGCTTCCCTTTTCTTAGATTTCACCTTTGGTTCAACATCCACAAGTAGTGTATCCAGAGGTAAGCTGTCTGGCAGAATAAAATATCGAATGTTATTTCCTCGAATACTCAGTGTTTCCAGCTGTACTGGTTCTCTGTTCTTCAGGGTCATTTTCACAGCTTTAAGATGTGTATTCATGCTGACATCTACACCTAAAGGGAAGCAAGAGGGCAATAATTAGCTTAAGGGAATTACTTATCAAGCCACAGCAAATACCATCATACAAATGAATCCAATCCATTTTGCCATAGTACAAGTTTCTATGACAGAATTTAGAGCAATCGATAAACAGGGGAATAGTATCAGTGTATATCAGAAATCTTAGATTTTCCTTAGCCGTGATAATGTTTTATTATGTATGATTATAGAAGAGAATACAATAAGCCAGAGGAACCATGACTGGTACATGTGCCTTATTTCAACTGTCCCTATATCTGAAGATTGGCAGTGCTTATTGCATGGGTCCCATTTTCTCCATAACTTCCTCAGACCAAAATTCTACCAGGCTACCTTCATCTTTGTTTTTAACATGAAGTCATGTATGTACTGTGGTATTTTTTTCTTATTACAAGGAATTTAGCAGGGTTTTTTTGTTTTTTTTAAGATTTACTTATTTATACAACAGCTGGGGTATAGGCCAGAGGCACAGGAGGGTGAGAGGATTCACCAGAGACAGAGTAGGGAGCAAAATAGGCAGATGGACTGAAAGCACTGCTGAGGGGAGCAGAGGGCGAGACAGGAGAGGTCTGCTGCGCCATGTGGATCTCTCCCTGGGCGGCTGGGAATGGAACCCACGCTGCAGAGGCTGCAGACAGCTTCACAGCACAGCGCTCAACCCGCTGCGCCACTGGGGAGGCCCTAGCAGGTCTTTTTAATTGTGCTTCAAAAAAGGATTGTTACTATTTTTGTCAATACTTTACCAAAGTTTTGAACTGTGTGCCTCAAATGATTTTTTCCCTTTAAGCCTTTATTTTTTTTTTTTAAATTTGGTATTATTTATTTACGCATACAAGAACTGAAGTATAGGTCAGAGGTACAGGGGGTGAGATGATCAACCAGAGACAGAATGGGGAGCAGAACAGGAAGATCTACTGAAATACCCTGCTGAGGGGAGCAGTGGGCGAGACAGGAGAGGTCTGCTGCACCATGGGGGTCAATTCCCTGTCCGGGGGATACAATGGCTGGTGAGAGCTTGATAGAACTGAGACTTAACCCCTGTGCCACCAGAGAGGTCCCCAAGCCATGATTTTTAGAATAAGATTTTGCAAAATAAAAGCAAGGTTTTCTGGGCCTTCCCTGGTGGTGCAGCAGTTGAGCGCTGGGTTGCGAAGCTGCCCACAGCCTCCGCAGCGCGAGTTCGATCCCCGGCCACCGGGCGAGGGTCCCACATGGCGTGCAGACCTCTCCTGCTGCCCACTGCTCCCCTCAGTGTATTTTGTCAGTCTGCCTGTTCTGTTCCCCGCTCTGGCTCTGGTGAATTCTCTCACCCTCCCGCGCTTCTGACTGTACCCAGTGCTTGTATAAATAAAATAAATAAATCTTAAAAAATAATAATAATAAAAGCAAGGTTTTCTAAGATGGATATATGGCATTATAGCAGAAGCACCTTACTGGAGAATTTACCAGCTTATACAAACAAATGAAATAACCAAAAATCTAGTTAATTTCTGTCCACAGGGCCTCCCTGGTGGCGCAGGCAGTTGAGCGCCGTGCTGTGAAGCTATCTGCAGCCTCAGCAGCACGGGTTCAATCCTGGCCAGCGGGCAAGGGTCCCACATGGTGCTGCAGACCTCTCCTGTCGTGCCCACTGCTCCCCTCAGCAGTGTGTTTCGTCAGTCTGCCTGGTTTGTTCCCTGCTCTATCTCTGGTCAGTCCTCTCACCCTCCCGCGCATCTGGCCTGTACCCCGGTTCTTGTATAAACAAAATAAATAAATCTTTCCAAAAATAAAAAATAAAAAATAAATTTTTCTGTCCACAGAAAGCTAAATCTCAACTCCCCTAATATCTATCTCAAATTTCCGGGCATTAATCTTTTTCTTCTTCCTCCCAGTCAGATAAAGTCTTTTTCTGTCCTCAAATTAACATACTTTTGATGCCATTCCATTTTGTTGAGGACTTTAATCCCTATCAAGGGTGAAAAAAAAAAAATGACCACTGTGTATGTCCCAGAAACTATATGTGAAGAACTGTAATCTAATTCTTGTATCCTATTGTGAGGAAAAAATATATATATTAGAATTTATTAATATAAAAGAAACCTGCAACAGTGATTGCGGTGGAGGGAATTCAACTAACTAGATTTTGCTTCCCCAAGTTACTGAAACTTCCCCCTAGGACATCATTTATAGTCTACTATTTCTTAGGGAACACTTGTAATACATTTATGGATGTGTGGTTTATGTGTGTCTTCCATCACTGGGTTTAGTATCAGTCTAATTTTTTATGTTTCTCTTGGTTTACTGAGGTGCTGGATTTATGCTTCAAAAATTATTTAGAAATATTTACAATTTAAATACTTCAGAGAAGGACCAAGTGCTAAGATAGCTTTATCTTTCATTTGCCTCATTGAGTCTTTGTACATTTTGAAGAGGAACATCTACAATGAGTGAAGAATCACAATAGTTTTAAATATAAAATGAAATACACAAAGTCATTTAAAAAGGGGGGGGGGCAGCACTCCATCTGCCTACCTGTGACTATGCAAGTGCCTCTTTTCACCAACTCTCTCCCTCTGCAGGGCAGCAGCTTCCTGCCTGCCTGCCTGCCTGCCTGTGACCTGTATCTGCTAGGACTTCCCTTCACTGACCTCCCTCAGCAGAGGCACCTCTCCTCAAGGCCACCCCCCTGCAACCATGCAGCAAACCTGTCCCTTTCAGGGCAGTTCTTCCTGCCCGCTTGTGTCTATGCAAGTTTTCTTTATTCCTCTATCCCTTTTCCTAATAAACCTGCCATTAAAAAAAAAAAAAAAAAAAAGGAAGACAACTAAGAAAATGGATGCAAAGAAAATATTCCAAAATGCTATGCTACCAGTGATTGCCTCAGTTAGATGAAGTCCCCATCACTGTTTTCTACATTTGTTTTTAGACCAAAGATAATCAGACATGGAAACCCCATCCTCTATTTTCTTGAAGACTTTAGAATTTAAACGGGGAAACAAAATTCTAATAAAAATAAAATGTATTTTGTAAGATGCAACATTTCAAACAGAGACATACACAGGCAAAACCATAAAAGCAGGAAAACATGAGTCACATATAGGATAGCCCACGGATTCTAGTTTGGTTGCAATACAATACTTGAAAGTGAGGTTCAAATATAAAGGTAATAAAATAGTCCAGGCTAAAAGTATGACACCTACACTCTGACAATATTCATTAAGTAACTAAATAAGAATTTTGACCTTAGAAGAAGAGAAACTCCTCCCACAGCCCATTATAAAACAATCCAATCTCCATACCTGTGATTGTTCCATGGACCTGTGTTCCATTCTTTAACTCGATGGTTACAGTCTCATGACTCAATTTCATCAAAAATCTATAAAACAATAGAATTAAAATAATTTTCACCTTTAAACACTTCAAAAAATCATGCTTATTAAAATCAACAGGGGGCCTCCCCTGGTGGCGCAGCAGAAGAGAGCTGGGCTATGAAGCTGCCAGCAGCCTCTGCAGTGCCGGTTCAATCCCCGGCTGCCGGCGAGGGTCCCACATGGTGCACAGACCTCTCCTGCTGCGCCTGCTGCTCCCCTCAGCAGTGTATTTCATCAGTCTGCCTGTTCTGTTCCCCGCTCTGGCTCTGGTGAATTCTCTCACCCTCCTGCGCTTCTGACTGTACCTAGTGCTTGTATAAACAAACAAATAAATAAATAAATCTTAAAAAAAAAAAAAAAGTAAAATAAAATCAAGAGGGAATTTCTAAATGACATAAATCTCCTATAGCCCTTATCTGTACCAATTCCTGTCAATCTGCACAATTTCAGCTTTCTCTGAATTACACCCTGAAAGAGCAACAACAGATGCTATCATTTGGACATTTTTGATTCTCTGAATCATTCTGTCACCTCCAATATGTGCATACAGATACCAAAATCATTACATGCCACTAAACTAAAATCAAGAAATTATATGAGTGAAGATGGTCAAAAGATACAAACTGCCAGTTGAAAGGTAAATAAATATTGGGGGTGTAACATACAACATGGTGACTGTAATTAACCAGCTAAATGGTATATTTGAAAGTAGCTGAGAATTTATCCTCACTACAAGGAACCTCCCACCCTTATTTTTACGATATGATGGATGTTAACTAAATTTACTCCGGTAAATCATTTTGCGATGTTGATAAGTCATTATGTTGTATATCTTAAACTTACACAGTACTGTATGTCAATTATTACCTTAATAAAGCTGAAAATAATGGGTATTTCAAAGTTACATATTTATTACGTATATACAAACAGAATCAAGTAAAAGTTCATAGGGATATTTTTATAGGCCCATTTTATATGCATTCATAAACATATCAATCTTTTAAATATAAATTAGACCGTACTTTAGTGTTCTCTAAAACTGTACCTCTCACTTAGCAGTTTATATAGTAGTATGTGACTAAACATATACGCACCCTCATATATATACAGCTATTACAAATCCATTTATGTAAACCCTCATCCATACTGTTACCAATCTTCTAAAGTTTTATCAATTTGATGGGTAAAAAAAGTAACTGCCTTTCCCTATTACTTGTGAGGGTGAGTATCCTTTCATAAGGGAAATTCGTATTTCTTCTGTGAATTACATACCCATAATATACACACATTTTCTATTAGGTAAAAATTTTCTGTAATTTTATACCAGCTTGCATTCAAGTTTGTGGTTTTTAGTCACAGAAAGTCTTTCATTTTTGTTAATTTTGTAAATTCTTCTGAGATATACAATTAATATAGCAAGATGTCTCCTACCCCAAGATCGTAGTCTCTTTGTATACCCATACCATAGCATCTATCATACTAAATGGTACAAGTAACATAATGTATTTTTCTCCCCATTAGAGTAGGATTGAAGACGAGGATCATTACACCTTTATATCTAATTCTGGAATGTAACAGGTACTGAATAAAATCTTAAAGTACCACTTTTAGGGGTATAGACAGTAATCAAAAATGAAGAAATTATTGGGTCTCCAGTTTATCACGTCCCAAACTTTTTAAAGCTCATCTGTCCTCACATAGAGATTTATGTGTTAAATTTATTTTCATATTTGCTTTCAAGAAAAGCAGTATCTCAATGAACTTGGTAATTTTTATTTCTCCAGACAAAAATTCTTTTCCTTCCTGCCCTCAATTCTTTGTTTCCTTTTGTTATATATACATATACTTTTTAGTTTAACTGTCCTATTCAGTAATAACTTACTTTTACAAAAGTTCTCTGAAACCATTTTTGGAAGCAGGCAGAATTAAAGTAAAAGCAAAATACCTTAGTATTCAGGATATCAAAGAGAAGTGAAAGGAAAAAACAGAAGGGGGAAGAGGGAGGGAGAGACAGAGGGAGTGGGGAGGAGGGAGAGACAGACACACAGACCATCAAAACACATTTCAGAAAGTCCAAAGATATTTCTTTCATAAAAAATATTTACCACTAAATGTTATGTTGTAGTCTCTGTGCTAGAAAGGATAAAAATTAGCTCTCAAGGAGCTTAAACTCTAATAGGGAGAACAGACACATAAAAGGTATTTTAAAAATTACTAAATAGTAAAATAAAACAGAGATGCATAGGTTCCTATCAGGAACATAATGTAATGTAGCACGGGAAGTAGGAAGTCAGATCTTCACAGACTTTAGTAAGAAGTGTGCAAAGTTGTGAATACAAAGCAAAGAGAGGTAACAGTACAAAGTAATAAAAAAACAGCACATGGTACAGAGAAATTACAGATACTACCAAAGGAATAATATTAAGTCCAAGAAAATGGGTAGGGAAGAATAGGTTCTTCCATAGGGGAAAAGTCACACATTTTGTTAAATAATTCCTTTCAGAGAATTATGGAAAGGTTTTTATCAATGAAGTGGAATGTGAGACTGATATTCATATTTTATTTTATTTGAATATTTATTTATTTATTTAAACAAGCACTGGGTACAGTCAGAAGCGCGGGAGGGTGAGAGAATTCACCAGAGCCAGAGCAGGGAGCAGAGCAGGCCACAGGAGAGGTCTGCGTGCCATGCGGGACCCTCCTCCGGTGGCTGGGGAGCGGCCGGGAATCGAACCAGCGCTCCAGCACTCAACTGCTGCACCACAGGGGAGGCCCGATATTCATATTTTAAACAGAACCTTGAGTAGGGTCAGAAAGACAGATTTTAGAGACAGAAGTACAATCTCCAAGAAGACAAATTTGAGTCTAGGCAATAATATGTAGGTTAGTTACAGAAATCGAGACAAGAACTGCAAAAACATCAACAAAATTAAATTGTACAGAAAGAGACCTACATTTATGTAGTTGATTTTCTATAAAGATACCAAGGCACTCCAAACATGCAAAGCAAACTAATGATGAAACCTAAAATAGAATGCATATCCTCTAGTAGGAAATACTGAAAATCCACATAGAAAAAAAAATGAACGTGGACCCCTGGCCCACACCAATTGCCAAATTAATTTAAGACAGATCACAGCTCTAACATAGATGTCAAAAAAATTTTTTTAAAGTTAAAATTATAAATTGTCTAGGGGAAAACAGAATAAACATCATGGTTTGAGGGTAGACAAAGTATTCTTTGAATTTACACAGAGAGCAATAACCATAAAAGAAAAAATTACTAAATTAAGACTTTCTCAAAATAAACTTCAGCTCACCAGAAGATTATTAAGGAAATAAGCAAATCACAAACTGGGAGAAATATCTGAAAAGGTCTAGTATCCAGCCAAGAATAAAGAATTCCACAACTCAGTAATGAAAATACACAACCAAAACAAAACCTTTCACAAAGATACACCAATACCAATAGCCAGTAAGATGATAAGGTAAATGTCTTACACAGTGAAATTTAGTTTACATTTACTGATTTTGAGAAATTTATACACCGGTGACCCAAATCCCTATGAAGACTTGGATTGCCCATAAATGACATTAGTCTCTAGGAAAATGCAAATTAAGCCGTATGAAGAGACTACTACAGAAGCATTTAAGTGGCTAAAATTAAACAACTTTTAATTTTACAAACAAATGCTGGTGAAAGTGAGAAGCAATTGCAATGCTAGTATACTGCTGGTGTGAGTGTAAAGTAGAACTTTACTTTGAAATTTTTCAAACAACTATTCTGAAAAATAATCTGGCAGTTTCATATGAAACTGAACAGATTTATGGTACGATCCAGCAACTCAACTCCAAAGGATTTACCCAAGCTGGGAGAAGAAAAAAGCAAACAAAAAACACACTCTGCTTGGGGGAAGAAAAAAAAAAATCCATCCAACTATAAGGGTGCCCAATAATGTTGACTTGACAATTCCTGACTCAACAGACAAGAAACGACTTACACACGTCGATGTGGTTATTAGAAACCCTCTGATCCTGGGAGCGGGGCCCCAATGGGTTACAATGGAGGATTACTGGTTCTTTGGTGGTGGGCGTGGTGTGATAAGACACCTGAAGAGGTATGAACCTATACCCCTAAAAAGTGTTGTAAACCAAGGTTAACGTAAAATTAATTAAGGGGAAAGCAAATAAAAATCTCTGCTCTTATGTACCAGGTTCCCCGTCTCAAGGAAAAACAGCAAAATCAAGACCATTTGCGGCCAGTTTTCAAATATTTCAAATCAGTAAGTGAAGACCTCAGTAGGCTCAACTAACCAAGTTTAAACACAACAAAAAATACGAAAGAAGAATCAATTATCGGTGTAACCAACCATTAAAAAGGGAAGAGAATCTGCCCACGTTGGGAGATTTTTCCCCCTAAATCAATGGTCTCTTTAAAGGTAACTGCACGTTAAATAATCCTAAACCTAGAGAACAGGAAAAAAAAATCCAACTTATTAAATCTGAAGTCCATTCCCAATTTAAAACATTTCAAATGGGTTTTATTGCTTCCAGGTAAATTCCTGCCGCTTCTCTGCACGCTTTAGTGGGTACTTTGCAGTTTTAATGAGGCTTAACAGTTTCATCACCAAAAAAGCGCGTTAATTTAGGCCAGTTACACAAGCCATACCATTTTTCTGAATGAGTCCCACGTTTTCAGGGAACTTGGACCTAGGTATATAGCGGTTTCTGGAAGCTTAGGTGGGCCGGAAAAGAATCCTAATCTAGGGCCTCCCCGGTGGCGCAGCGGTTGAGCGCTGGGTTGCGAAGCTGCCTGCAGCCTCTGCAGCCGGTTCGATCCCCGGCTGCTCCCCGGCCACCAGAGGAGGGTCCCACATGGCGTGCAGACCTCTCCTGCCGCCCGCTGCTTCCCTCAGCAGTGTACTTCGGTCCTTCTGCCTGCTCTGCCTGCTCTGCTCCCCGCTCTGGCTCTGGTGAATTCTCTCACCCTCCCACGCTTCTGACTGTACCCAGTGCATGTATCAAACAAACAATAAATAAATAAATAAATAAGACATGCCTCTAGAAAATTTAAAAAAAAAAAAAAAAGAGTAAAAAAAAAAGAATCCTAATCTAGAGTACGAGTTCTAGTCGAAATGAAAATCGGTAACTGACCCAAAGTAAGAAATCTAAGACTGACGCTGCACCTTTAAAGCCCCGAAGCCACTAGGCGGGAAGAAACGCCTTCGCGTCCACCTCTTGGAAGACACGCGGGACCAGGCGAGACCGTCGGAAGCCCTGACCCAGCGCAGGCGCGGCCAAGATGGGGCGGGAGTGGCGGGCGCCGGAGGCCGTTAGCAGGCCGCGCACGCACGCGGCTTTCGCGCCTCTCCCTACAGACACAAGCGGGCCCGCCGGCCCCGGCCCCAAGCGCCCCTTCACAGCCCTCGCTCAGCTAGGTCACCTCCTCACCTCACGAGCTTCATCCTAGCGGCGCCGTCACACTTTCCGAGTGATAGTGCTCAAAACCGGCCTGCTGAGGACCACCCGACCCGGAGTATGAATGGCCGGAAACGCCTACTCCGGTATTCCGACGTAAAGAGCGCGCAGAGCGCGGCGGACGCAAGGCGGAAATGCTGGGGCCGCGCTGGTCAGACGCACTTCCGGTCTCGACTTGCGCCACAGCGGCCCCTGGCGGCTGGAGGTGTGCCGTGCGGCTGCGGAGCACGTCTCAGGTTGTTCTGTAAGGAAATTCCTTGCCTGAAAGTTTTGAAATTAACTTGAATTAGTGGCCCTGTCGCCCTCGCATTTCGTCACGATAGGGCGCCAGCACTAAATATACCCAGGAAGGAAGAGAAGTTCTGAGAGAAGCACAAAGCCGATGGTACTAATTCGGCTCCAACATTGGGAACAGCAACGTTACTTAATACACTTAAGAAAATCACACAATTTACATGATTATTTTTACTTTAAGTTTTGACCAAAGATCTCAAATAGTAATCCTGCATTGTCCAAAGATCGTGCTGGTCTTTTCCAGTAAGTTCACAAACTATTTCGTGCCTTCTTTCTTCCTTTCCTCTCAAACCTTTTCTGCTTTTCGTACTTTTACAAAGCTAGAAGTATTGTTGTTCATTTCAGAGGCAAATTCCTCTTCGTTGTAGTCTGGATTCCATCTCTGATTTTCTCAAGAATTCACTCCTAAGTTATCCTTCTCTAATTTGAATTGTCAGTCGCCCCTGCCACCAGCTTTTGCATCATACAAATTCATCTTAAACTTTTGATTCAGCTTCAGTTAATGCTCAGTTCTTTTTTTTTTTTTTTGGATTTATTTATTTATGCATACAGGAGCTGGGGTACAGGCCAGAGATGCAGGGGGTGAGAGGATTTACCAGAGACAGAGTGGGGAACAGAACAGGCAGAGTGACCTAAGTACACTGCTGAGGGGAGCAGCTAGCAAGTCAGGAGAGGTCTGCTGCACCATTTGGGTTGCTCCCTGGTCAGGGATTGAACTCATGCTGCAGAGGCTGCAGATTGCTTCATCGTTCAGTGCTTAACCCCTTGCACCAGCAGGGAGGGCTTCTTTTTTTTTTTTTAAGATTTATTTATTTATGCATACAGAACTGGGGTGTAGGCCAGAGGTTTGGTGGGGGAGGGGTGGGTGGACTGTGAGAGGATTCACCAGAGACAGGGTGGGGAGCAGAACAGGCACATCTACTGAAATACACTGCTGAGGGGAGCAGTGGTCAAGACAGGAGAGTTCTGCCCTGCCAGGTGGGTTAGTTCCCTGGCTGAGGATCAAACTCATTCTGCAGTGGCTGCCAATAGCTTCATAGTACTGAGATTTAACCCCTTGGGCCACCAGGGAGTCTCCTCCTTATGGATACTTTTTCCTTTAATCTAGATGATCTCCAACACCATGGCTTTTTTTTTTTTTTTTAAGATTTATTTATTTATTTACACACGCACTGGGTATAGTCAGAAGCGTGGGAGGGTAAGAGAATTCACCAGAGCCAGAGCGGAGAGCAGAACAGGCAGAGTGAGGAAGTACACTGCTGAGGGGAGCAGCGGGCTGCAGGAGAGGTCTGCATACCCATGGCTTTTATTTTTATCTTCAGCCTGCACCTCATGACTGATTATCACAGCTCTTGGATGTTGGTAATGCAATGTTCAAACTTTACTAAGTGTAGGACTCAAATGGGGGATACTTGACACTGAAAATTCTGATTCAGTTGGTGTCTTGAAAGTCTGAATTTCTAATAAACCTTCAATTTATAAGTATACCCCTAGTCCATGGACACAATTGGAGTGCTAAGACTATAATATACATTGTGTGCAGCCTTGACAATATTTACTTCAATGTCTTCCTAACAGTTCCCTAATAATCTGTTTATTTGTGTGGTCCTAAGGTAGCTAATTCTAATCTTCATATCACTCATCACATTCCATTACTTGTCCATGGTAGATTTGGGATTTAAACTGATTCAATCAGAACTTTGCAGAGAATGCTCTTTCATTTTGGATATAAATGGAGGAATATAACTCCCAGGGCTATTGGGAACTCCTGAGAACCAAGCAGAGGGTCAGTTTTAGTATAGTTTAAAAAAAAAACAAAACCCATGATGATACTAACGGATCAAACATAATCAAACATAATGTCTGAAAGTGACTGTTAAAATTAAATGAGATAAAAAATCCAGTTATCATCAATAATAACATTTCAAGGGTAATAGCCATATGCAACTATTGCTACACTTTTGGACACTGCAGATTAGAACATTTCCCACATCACAGAACATTTTATTGGACAGTGCTGCTGTGTTTATTACCATATTTGTTTCCTTTTTTGCATTTAATTGCTATTCTTTTACTTTTTTATTATCTAACAAGAGCCTATAAACTGTGTGAAAGCAGGGAATTTTGTCTGTTCTATTCACGGTTGCATCCTCAGCATCTAGAATCACACATAATATGCACAGCATCTACCTTGCACATAATATATCCTCAGTAAATATTTATGAGATAACAATATCTCACCCATTAGACCTTGTGCATATTGTTCACTGCAGTATTCCTAGTACCAAGCACAGGGTAGTTCTTCCTTTTATCCTCAAGGTTCTTTAGGACCTGCCTACCTCTTAATTTCTTTCCCCTTGATGGTATTAAAATATTTGAGTTCTTGCAACTCATAAAGCTCACTTTCCTCTTTCGATTTTTGTTCATTTGGTCTTTTCATCTGGATAATACCTATTCATCCCCCTTTAAGTGTATGGGGCCAGCATCACTACTTATATATATTACTTGGTAGGTAGTGGTGGATGGGAAATTAAAATGTTATTGTCTGTTGATTTATACCAAAAGTCTAAAAAAAAATTTCTAGCTTGAAATGTAGTAATTTTATAATTTGTATTCTGTTCTCTTAGTATAAAACTTTCAAGAATCCTGAAATAAAGTTAACAAGAGTGGAGCAACAACAATAAAAAGACTTTATTTATTGCTAGCAAGAAGGCCAATCTAAAAGTGAGAGCACCCTGTGTTATGGGAATGAGCAGAGGTTTTAGTGTTAACTAGTGTTTAGATTGATATCAAGAAAGAAAGGGAGAAAAAACAGAAAAAGAACAAGGAAATGAAAATGAGATATGTGGGGCAACACAACGATTCCATTACCAGTTTTTAGAAGATATCCTGACGATAAGTGCAGAAAAGTACATTTTACAGTTTGGAGTCAGCAACAAAAACACACAATTTAAGCAACCCCCTGAGATTACTTTCATAATTTTGAGTTTTACCAGAGAACTAATAAGTAGAAGTTGGGTTATGAAAAGTACCTTCTCAATTTACAGAACTATAATGTTGAACATCAAGATGCATCATCTGGGCCACAGCATTTGTTTCTAGCATGTTCATATGACACAAGTGGAGTCAATCAGTGCTCTTCCCCAGGACTTTTAGGCATTTCTTTTCTCAGTTCTCTGTGAGCTTATATAATCTTTGCCACGTTGTCAGAAGAACCTGTTTGAGAATTAAGCCAATGTAGATAAAAGAATAGCTGGACATTTTAGGGATGGTGTCCTGCTGACATGAACTGAACTTCAAGTTTCAGAATGTCTTGAAGTCAGCTCATAACCTGCAGTTCTCAGTTATGGTAACAATAACTTTCTTCTTTTTTTGGTTATGTTAGTTTAGCTGGATTTCAGACATTTTCAATTTAAAGAGACTTGACTTCAGATTACCTAATGCTTATCTTTCTTTAATATCTTCCTATTTTATCTGAAAAACTACTTTCTTATTACTGCAAGTTCCCTTCAGAACTAAAACTTGTTTTCCTTTCTTTTGATTATGATCTGTACTCCTTTACTAGTTAAACAAGAGGCTTCTTATTGACAAATTTGCAAAACCCAAAATCTTTACTCTTTCCTGCAAGGGGCTGAAAGTTTAGTCAAGCAGAATATTTATTCAGTTGATTATGATTATTTTTTAGTAGACAACCATATTAAATGAACCAACTTCCAAGTTCATAGAGATTGTTCTAAAAGAAAACCACTGAAAAAGGCAAAACAAATTTTGTCAAACATTTTACAGAATAATTAAAATTTAATCAACCTACAAATTGAGACTGGTATTAATGAATCAGAATCATTTATCTTTTGGGCCTCCCCGGTGGCGCAGCGGTTGAGCGCTGGGTTGCGAAGCTGCCCACAGCCTCCGTGGCGCCGGTTCGATCCCCGGCTGCTCCCCGGCCCCGGAAGAGGATCCCACATGGTGCGCAGACCTCTCCTGCCACCCGCTGCTCCCCTCAGCAGTGTGCTTCGGTCCTTCTGCCTGCTCTGCTCCCCGCTCTGGCTCTGGTGAATTCTCTCACCCTCCCGCGCTTCTGACTGTACCCAGTGCATGTATAAACAAAAAAAAAACAAACAAATATAATAAATAAATAAATAAAAAAAACATGCCTCTATAAAAAAAAAAACAAAAAAAAAAAAAAAAAAAAAAGAATCATTTATCTTTTAAAATGATAAAGAATGCGCAAGAAAGCTTATTTCCCCCCCAGAAAAGCAAGCTATTTTTAAAATTTGCTTTTATTGAGCTCTTAATCTTACAGCTGCAAATCTAAAGTATATGATATGTTAGGTTGATACATGTATTTATTGCAATATGATTTCCACAGTAGCCAACAAGTATTTATATCACATAATTGTCTTTCTTTTTGTGGTGGGAACAATTAAGATACAGTCTCTTAAACGGAAGTTTATAATACAGTATTGCAAAATCAAACTTTTATACTTTCACAGCAAGTTTAAGAAGCTCACTGTGAAACTTTAGAAGCAAAATGTGGAATAAATTGCAGACACAATTATAAATCAAATATAATTTACTCATGTATGAAATATGGTCTGACATTTGTAAACATTCCTATGCTCCTTATTGGACCCCATACAACAAATATGGTGGAATAGGTCACTCAGAAGAAGTCTATTTTGTGGGAATGGAAACTTGCAAATGTGGTCTGTGTTGTATGCTAGAATTTAAATTGCTAAAGATTAGGTGGTTTATAGGACTAAAAGAAATCCTCCCAGCTGTCTGATAAATCTAAAGGTGAAGGCAAACATAGCTAAGATAGTC